CTCTACCCTCTGCAGACTCAGGAGATTTACAAACTCAAAATAAAGCTGTCGAATTCGAGAATCTCCTAGGAATGTGATATGATTCTGTTCTCCCCAATAGTAAATATAATGCATACATCGCCGTGCATGTCTGGAAAAAAAAAAACAAGATTAATTTTCTCTTTTGAATTTTTACAATTTTTATGCCAAAAATCATCAAGAATCTTAAGAAAATAATTTTTTTTTGCCTTCAGCTTTAAAATTGAAATTCGCGTAGACCATACTGATAAGAAAAGGAGATTTTTGTTATCTTGCAAAAGTTATCTTTCCTTTGAGGGGGGGGGGGATCAATGGGCATAAAGCACTATCATTCCCAGCTTTATGGGGCAATGTCTCACATATGAAATACGGGACCCACGAAATACAGTATGTATGTTCATTTTTTTTTATCTTGCCCAATACTATGACAATATAGAAACAGATCAATATGGTACAATAACGTTTGAAGGTAGAAAATATTTACAGGTATATTACGCAAGGTATATATCGAAAAAGAAAAGAGTATTACACCTACATTGGAATACATGTAACTCATAAGAATTTGAAATTTATTAATTTCACTGGAATAAAATCCATCCTTCTAATTTTAATTAGACTCGTCAGGCTTTATACAGGTACACTCACACTTTTGTGTATTTATGCATCATACATCCATATGGCTGCCATGTGTTATACCCTGGGAAACGCCCATCACTTAATAGCCACTTACAGGAGTCATTGCCTGGAAAACAAATGAAATATTCAATCAACCAACTTCTTCTGCACAACTGAATTATCAGAACACATACATTCAAAGCTTATAGTTTTTAAAAAGAATAAATTAAGTTTGACATTCACAGACTTGATAACACTGTGAATAAGAATGCAATTCAGTTTATTCCTTTTTTTTCTTTTTTTTAAAGAATGTGATTTTTATATTTACTCATGACATTAATTCTCTATTTTCATTCATCTCTTGATAGCTCCGCAAATGATACATAAAGTTATGTTGTTGGGCAGCTAAATCAGGATTTTTTAAATATAGCTTAATAAAGCTAGATAGCTATATCAAGCTATCATATATACTTGCCTAAAAGTCGGTTGTATTTAATAAGCTTATATATCAGAGGGACTGACCTCATATAATTTCATTCTTTTAATAGCTCGCCTTTAAGGTAAGTCACTCGTCAGCTTTTTAGACAAGTTCACGCAGAAGCTTTTACTTCAAAACTAATTATTGAAATTCAATTTTTATAACATATTTAAATTCAAAAATGTAAATTTTCTAACATTCAATGAAAAAACTGCTCAAAAATCTACAAAAACAAGATTTATCTATTGAATTTTTGGAAGGATATTTAGCAGAAAATTCTGCAAATCTGAAAACATTTATAAAATTTAATGTAATGGAAATTTAGCCTCACATACTTTTACTCGGAGAATATTTTACGTTTTGATATTGCTAAAAATATTTAATGTAGGTCTTAATTTAAGTTAACTTAAGTTTTACACCTTCCCTCAACAAACTTTTCCAAAAAATGAAAATATATTAAAGAGGTCAAGGTCTAATTTACACCATTTTTTTTGCCTGAAAATCACATATTTTGGCAAATATTTCAAAATTAACATCACTGACCCCACCTTTTTCTTTCATTATTTTAAACACTCACACTTTTGTGTATTTATGCACTCAATCATAAAAAGTGTTGATATAAGAAATTTTTTTATTGCCTATTAAGTTTTTTCATACCTGGAAAAATATGTTATTTTTAATGCAAAAAGGTCACACAACAATTACGCGCATTAATTTAGATTTGTTTATAAATATTATTCAAACTATTTTACGTTAAATAAGATTATATTTATTGCCATGCTTAAATCTAATCAAATATAATAAGGGTTAAAGAAATTAACCAAAGAGATGAAATTTAAGTGCAAAAAGGTTTTTTAAATGTACCGTAGATCAGTAGGATGCACACTCATATATTCTTTGCGATTTTGAGTTACACTTTATAAGCTTATATATATATCAAAAAATCCTTGATATAACAAATTTCAGGAGTGACTTACCTTAAGTCGGACAAAGTTTTGGACCATATATTAACTTCCAAAAACCCCACTTATAGGCAAGTATATATGGTATAACTAAATCAAGTGATTGTGCCAGACCTGACTAAACAGCTGGTCATGATGACATTCATAACTTTGTCCTCATGACCAGCTGTTTTCCACAACTCTGAAATACTAGTTAGCAAACCTGATATCAACAGAGAGACTTCAAACACAGATAAACCACTAAATATTGCCCTTACAACTGTCCGGGATTTAACTTCTTTCAACCATTGATTATGTTAATATCTTTATTATAAATGCACAGAATTTCTTAGCTGCAGATCTGTAGCTCTCCGAAAAAATATATTGATAGACTGGAGAGCTACAGTGCCACCCATTGAAAAAATGTATATTTATTGCGCACAAAAAAGTGCGCTCGATTCTTGATTAATTTTTCCAAATTCTCACCTCAATTGCAAAAAATGGAAGATTTAAAAAAAAAATCCTCTCTCCTCTATCAAGTTCTCTTGTAGTTAATATCTGAACGAAGCATATTGGACTGAATTATCTTTGAAACCAAAATGGCAGTATAAATAAGCGAAATGTCCGATGATTGCAATATCAGGACCAGGAGGACTATTAACAACAATTATGAGGAATGTTTTGTTGTGGAAAGAGTCAAAGAATATGTTAGGAACACACGGTTAGTAATATTTTGAGATTACAGCTTTAAAAACATGGAGAAATAAATCGAGAACTGAGCGCATTTGTGCGCAATAAATATACAGTTTTTTCAATGGGTGGCTCTGTAGCTCTCCAGTCTATCAATAATTTTCTTCGGAGAGCTACAAATCTGCAGCTAAGAATTTCTTAAATTTTTTTGACACATTGTTTAAATAAAACTAAATTCCCAAATGCATGAATATTTCCAAAAAATTATATTTACTATGCTGAGTTAGCATTGTCACCTGCCAAAATACGAGAGGGAACTTTAAAATGGACTGAATGTAAGAATGTTATATTATTATGAAGTACATAGATGTCTAATGAAGTAAATGTGATGCTTAAAAAAAAAAAAATTGCGACTATTTCGGAACGCTTAAAAATCACTTTGAACCATCTTATTTTGCCAGTCCGAACGACTGACAATCTTAAAAAAGATTTCCACAACTCAGTACTCTGGTATTTTATTGGAGGAAGATGATGAATGTGTCATAATGTGACACACTGCCCAACAACACATAACTACCATGCCTACACAACACATCGGGAGTACCGACACTGACGGTTTTATACCTGAATGAAAACTTACCATACTTAAGATGCAGTACCCCATGATACATAACAAACCCACAAACTAGACAAAATGCTAAGATTTTGGCATTTTCAATGTTTAAATAGTATGTTATTTCATTAGTCGTCGATCCTCCTCGATTGTTGTCGGCCATCGTTTCTAATCGATATTAAATCGTTCGTGAAATATTTCGGTCACATTCAAACAGATTCTGCAACCAGCAAACTATAAAAAAAAAAAATGTTTTACTTACGTATAATTCTTAAATAGCGATATTTTTCTCCAGTTGAACTGGCTCCATATTGAAGAGAAAAAAATAACAACAATATGTTCTATATTTGCATCGTTTTTACGGGGGTGGGGTGGGGGGTGGGGGGGGGGGGGTACATGTATCAATTGAGGGGGGAATGGCAAAAAAAAGCGACGGTGAAAAAAGAAACACGGAGAGAGAGAAAAAATTCCTCCAAAAACAAAAACATTATGCGCTTCGCGTTTATTCGTAAAAGTTAGGCGTTTTAATGCGAAAATACGTTACGCGTAATATCGCGAAAGTTTCCTGTTATTACGCGAAAGTTTCGCGCTTATTCGTGAAATAAACGCATTTTAATTACCGCGAAAGCGAAAAAATCAGTATTTTTCTAACGAAAGTGAGCCCGATGGGCTTTTGTACAATGGGCTTTCGCAAAGATCTACAAAAAGCGCAAATTAAAAATGAAAAGAAATAAAAGAAAAAAAGCCTGCACATAAGTTAAAGAGTTATGACTTGTGGTTCCAAAGAAAAAAACGGAATTGTCATGATCACATGCCTATTCGTATTTATATTCCTTAAAATGTATTTCATAAAATTGATACCCCTTTTCAAACCTGAAATGATAATAAATGCACCCCACCCCCCATTTATTAAAATTGCTTCCATGAATTAAAATTGAATTTTGTGTACATATTTACTGCTTTTTTAATAATTGTCTTTCTGAACGTGCATTTCTTCTGATACATGTAAATATTATGTTTTTTCACATTGTTTGTTCGTTAGATTTTCCTCTCTTAATTATTCCGAAAGGAGTCTTTATATGTCAACGTCAGTCTGTTTATAGGTAAATTTGTCACTATATGTATATCATGCAGTAATTTATCTTAAAAGGGAGATCGAGCGAAAGAAAAAAAAAAGAAAGAAAGAAATTTATAATTAAGGGATGAAATCAACTTTTTATTTATAAATTCAAAATATTTTAGCCTTGAAATTTGTGAAGGATCAAAGCGGGTTATAAACCCCTATAAATGTCCATCCGTTGATAAACATTCATATTCCGTATTAACTAAATTAAAAAAAAAAAAGTTTATTTTTCGGTATCTTTTGTTATAAGAATAGAATTAACACCCCCCCCCCCCCACCCCATCCCACCCCCAACTATGTCTTTATTCTTGTGTTATGACTCGTTTCTAATTTTCTTTTCAATGTTAATTTATATGAGACCGAACAATTTGTTTTAAGGGTCATATTGTTAAATGTACGAATTTAACATAATAATTTTCACCTTTTATTTTACAAGCATTTTGGTATTTAGTGCTATCTAAAGGGAATTCCCTTAGAAGTGATTCCCTTCCAAAACGAGACAGTATGTAGATTCGTGACGTCATTATGGAAAATGGCGGCTTCCAAATCGAAATGGCTTCTTTATGTCAAAATGTGTTCAAATGATACCATGTCTTGACTATATTGTTTCTTGAATCATATATTTTCATGAAGCAATATGCCCTAGTATTATGATGACGGACAAATTCGGTAAGTTTAATGTCGTGAAATAAAAGCATAGAGTTGGGTTGTGTGTAATGTCAATGTTTTTTTGTAAACAAATAACCTCTTTTTACAATCCTTTCAATTTTCAAATGGTACGTAACTCTTCAAATATTTATCAATAGACTTTATGTAAATGGACGTCATTCATGTTCACATATAAATGAGGGGTTAGGTTTTAATTGAGTATTTGTACTATATCCACATGCCCTGCAGTTTTCTGACTTGGATTTCATTCAAGTTGTCAAGAGAAAACCAAGATGATGTTTGTCACTTTTTCAAATAAAGTTGGGCCTAAGTAGTGAAATGAAATTTTTGATAGAAAGGCAAAGATATAATTTTCAGGGATTTCGTACAACATGTTATGTTGTGATGTTAATGTTTTTGTCACTGAGTGAAAAACTAAAACTGCATGCTGACATGAGGCTCACACGCTAACTGAATCTTGTGTATACTAAATGATTAAAAAACCCACGCACATACGTAAGCCAAGGGATAAGTCCGAGTAGTTGGTTTTAAACACCATGTGCAATCGAAATTATTAATCATTTTGTGACCTCTGACCTTACACAACAAATGAGAATTAGATAAGAAAGAGCTTGTATTATGTCTCATGAGAACAATTAACAGGAATGGACCAGCAAATACTTTCAAATTAACAAAATAAATGATCAAATTCCATTCTTTAACATTTAACCCACATTAGTCCAAACTTTTAAAGCACTATCATTTTACAGCATCTACAATATTTTAATTTTTTATTAAAAATTGTGAATATTGCAGGAGGAGTGAATACTTTTGGAATTTGTATAGTACCAAGAGGATTATCCTAATATTAAATGTCCAAACCCATGGGGCCATTTCTAAAATCATTGAAGCCCCCATTCAAGACAATTTTTATTTGCAACTCCCCCCCTTTCAATATTAAAAGGCTTGTGTTACATGTCTTTTAGTGGTATGGAGAGTGCAGATATAATCTATTTCTGATATATGTATTACTTCTGATGCTAAGTAATAGTATTTAACATAAACAGAATGTTATCATCCCCTGAAACTGATCTTGTTGTAAAATATGTTAAAATCTTTATACAAGACAACAAAATTATACAGGAAATTAGATTTGTAGTTCAAAATCAAACTTCTTATAAGCTAGGAGGTATCAAAAATTACACAGTATTTGATTTTCACATTGTGAGACCTCAAGGCCATGACATTTTATTTTGATATACATGTTCATTTAAAAGACTTTAACCTAGCTAGCACATAACTTTTGATTGGTTAGTGCTAAAGCTTTCATCATTTCCTTATCTTAATTTGTTTTCCTTTTGAAAAGACTTTTCTTTGAGTGATTTTATTCATAGGTAAAATAAAATGCTATCTATAGTTCTATCATATGTTATAAATGGATGATCTTATAATTTTAAGTATTTAAAGATTTCCATGTGCCCTAGGTGCTAATTTTTTCGGTGAACAAACTTACTGAAATATTTACTGCTTTTTCATTGGTTACTTACTACTGGCACATTTCTCTGAACAAAAACTCTTGTAAAATACAAGTGACGCCATTTCCTGCTGAAGTAAATTAATGTACAAAAAAAAGTTAAATGTTAGTTACAGAAAAAGGACTATTCTAATAAATTGTTCATTGAAAATCAAATTTCATTGATGTTATGGATAAAAATTTCCAACCATGCGTAAACCTTGTCTACTCGCATTCACTTTCATTAATATCTGTAAGTGTAAATTACACTGTTTATTTCTGGGTAATACCTAACTGAATTTGAACATATTCGTAGAATGTTACGAGCCTGCCAGAACTAGCTAGCTAGATTTTTTGTTAATCAGTGGGCCAACTTACTAGCTCAGGTTGAGCAACTGAAGATCATTTTCTGATTTTTATACCCCCCGCAAACGAAGTTTGGGGGGGTATATAGGAATCACCTTGTCCGTCTATCCGTCCGTCCGTCTGTTTAGCTGTCTGTCTGTCTGTGCAATCGTGTCCGGTCCATATCTTTCTTACGGAGGACATTAGAATCTACTACTCCACACAAAGATTGCACATGACCGAAGGGTGTGTCATGACCTTGACCCAAGGTCATTTGGGGAACTTCAGGGTCACTGGAAGAAAAATTTCATAATTCGTGTCCGGTCCATATCTTTCTTATGGATAAACTTGGTAGATTCTCATTTCACACAAACATTGCGCTTGACCCAAGGGTGTGTCATGACCGTGACCCAAGGTCATTTGGGGAACTTGTCACTGGAAGAAAAATTTGATAATTCGTGTCCGGTCCATATCTTTCTTATGGATAAACTTGGTAGGTTCTCATTTCACACAAAGATTGCCCTTGACCCTAGGGTGTGTCATGACCTTGACCCAAGGTCATTTTGGGAACTTTAAGGTCACTGGAAGAAAAATTTCATAATTTTTGTCCGGTTTATATCTTTCTTATGGATAAACTTGGTAGGTTTTCATTTCACACAAAGATTGCCCATGACCTAAGGGTGTGTCATGACCTTGACCCAAGGTCATTTGGGGAAGTTCAAGGTCACTTGAAGAAAAATTTCATACTTCGTGTCCGGTCAATATCTTTCTTTTTGGTAAACTTGGTGATTCTCATTTCGCACAAAGATTGCCCATGACCCAAGGGTTTGTCATGACCTTGATCCAAGGTCAATTATGGAAGTTGAAGGTCATTGGAAGAAAAATTTCATAATTCGTGTCCGGTCCATATCTTTAGTATGGATTAACTTGGTAGGTTCTCATTTCACACAAAGATTGCCCATGACCCAAGGGTGTGTCATGACCTTGACCCCAGGTCATTTGGAGAACTTCAATGTCACTGGAAAAAAAATTTCATAATTCATGTTTGATACATATCTTTCTTATGGAAAAACTTACTTCTGAAAAAGCCAGCGGGGGGTATTTTGTCCCGTTTGGACAGTTCTAGTTATGAAATATGTATATTTCATTCTATTCATAGCTTGCTTTTTATGTTCCAAGATTTGTGGCCCAGTCTTTGTTCAAATAGTAATTAATATAGAATTCATTAGTATTTTTACGGAATTGCAGGACTAGGGAGCGGCCATGAAGCACGACAAACAATGAACGGAGACATTGACGATGGCCATGCTCCTCTGTTTATATCAACGGAAGAGGAAAGGTACGAGCAAAAATCATTTGTTTAATAATCACATAATTTTTGTTTAATAAAAAAAAATCACATAATGATTTGATACATGTACAGGGCTCTCACACCACTTTTTGGCAACTGGGAAAATTGGGAAATTTGGGGATAAATCTTTATAACAATGATATATTTAAAAAAAATTATTGTTTTTTGAAAACAAAATTTAAAACTTCCAGCTATATTTTCTTTGATTTTGAGAAAGACTTTTTGAAAATTAACACATATTTGATACATGTATCTCAAATATCAATAAACTGAAAACCTTTGATACTTCAAAGTGGATTAACAGTTCCAACCAGTCTTCAATAGAATAAAATTATGCCCCCACCCCCATCCCTGATCCCTCCCACTAAAGTGATTCCCTAAATAGTGTCCTTGATTTATTTTATTACATTCTCTTTTTTTCACATTTATTCCATGGTTGTATCATTTTTTTTCTCAGTACAATTTGTATTTTAAATATCTTAATATTTCAACTCTCTAGCACTGTGTCAAAGAGGAACAAGACAGTCCACAACTCAACCGAGAAGAAAAGGAAAGAACAGATCCGATATTGGATTCAACAGATTGGGGAGCAGCTGCCCCCACTGGTCACCACAAAATCCGAGAAAGAGAGACATGGCAGGGTAAATAATGACTACTCCCTGACTCAGGGATCTTTTGTTAATTTTGTTGCATTCAAAACTTCCACTAGTCAATAAAAAAAAAATTAAGAAATAAAGATGAACAGGGTAAATAATGACTACTCCTTTGCTGTATGTAAAATATCCACTGGTCATCATAAAATCAAAAGAAGAAAGACAAGACATGAGTCAGTAATGACTATTTCCTGACTGATGGATTTTTTAAATAATAAACACAATTTTTTTTTAGCTTTGTATTATTGTTAAAATATAACGTTTTTGATTGGTTAGTCAGATCACAAAGCGTTTGAATAAAGAAACAAAAGAGATTAAGTCTTATAGATCTTATCGAAAACGAAAGTAGGATAAATTCCTCCGTCACTGATTTTGACAAAAGCTAATGACTATGGATATACTTTAAATAAATACGGCCAAAAAAAAAACAACATAAAAATAGGAATCCAGGTGTCAGATATGAAAGTGTCAATTTAAAGCCATGGTAATGAGATTAGGAAGATCCTCTTTGTGTTAAAAGTTAATTTTGACCTAATGTTTTACATGTATATTGTCAAAACCCGCAGCTGACGATATAAATTACTTCACAAATGATTAAAAGGACATAATGTATTTCTTTTGCCACACATTTGTTTATTTTTATAAACCAAATTATTTCAAGCCATCTGCAGTTAAGCATGTGTTAATTTTACTGACAACTCACTGAAAATTATATGTTCTAATATTATTATTATAAAATGAGTATTTTTGTTTTCAGAGTACTCTGGAAATTGTGGAAAAAGCTTGCACTTACATAAAAGAACTGAAAGGGAAAATTGGAAATGGTCAGTTTTGTATTGAACATGCACTAAATTTTGTCATTGCTCAAACAACTAATTTTTATGTAATTCCACCCCCTTAAACTTCACATGTAATGTGGACCAAAAATAAACTTGGAAACAAGGCATAAAAATAACACTGATAGCAGCATACTGCTATGTGTCCAGAAACCAGGAAATGCTGTCTGGTGGCTTCTAAATTTCAAAATTTTTTCGGGGGGGTCCACTAGCAGGCTCACGCCTTTTCCGTGCATTTTTTCATAACCGTTGCACATACTGATGGATTTTTTGAAATTTTTTGGTATACAGATATATCAAAAGATGAATATCTAGGTCAGCAGGATAAATACTGTTTTGGTTTTTTTGTACAATCGCACCTTTGTGTTAAAAGTTGAATTTGACTTAATGTTCTACATGTATTATGCAGACATAACTCACAAATGATTAAAAGTAATGTATTTGTTTATTTTTATAAAAAAATTCATCTGCTATTATTTGCAGTTTCCTGAAAATTATAAGTTTTGATATTATTATATTTAACATGAGCAACCTGGAAATTGTGGAAAAAGTTGCACACATAAAAGAACTGAAAGGGAAAATTGGAAGTGTACAGATTTATCATGCACTAAATTTTTGATCAAGAATTTTTCTGTTACTACTGTATACAGGGTTGTGCCATTTTTGCCCTTTGGACTTGAAAAAAAATTATGGACAAGTGAATTTGCTGGGCACTTGGATTGGACAAGTGGGCATAAGTGTTTTCCCGATGTCAATCGCTATGTAAGTTCACACTTGATTGGGATCGATGTTTATTACATACTATTGCATATACACGTTTGCGGGTTTGGAATATATTTGATTGATATTACAAATTTACTTGCGAACAGTTATGTTGTTGTGAGGACAGGAAGTCTAGATAAAATTTTGTCTTGTATGTGTTTGTCTTATTTATCAATATCAACTTTATCCTTTAATTTTTTAATTTAAGTAATTGTTTTTTGACAGAATAGGTCTAATTAAGATACAGTTCTGACAAGTTTAATTAGGAAGTAAATATCTTGGTCACTGTTGAATGTCGAGCCCTGGGTTATTTTCACCCCTTTTTAAACTTTCGCACACCTATTTGATTAGGGTAAGGAACTAACTGTGTGCGCCCCTTTCTAAATTCCCCCACCTATGATTAGGGCAAAAGGGGTGAAATTTTCTGTGTATGCAGTATAAAATCAAATGAGTAAATTTCTATGTGGTTATACATACTTTTCTTAAAATTCTCCAGATTTAAGCACACATGTTGAAGTATAGACCATAAATAGAATTATTAATTACTCTTTGGGGGATATGAGCTGACCTTAATCAGAAATTGTAATTAATTCATTAGATGAGGAGCTACAGAAGGTTAGCATGGAGCTGGAAAACATGAGGGCAGAACGAGACAGGTTACAGGAAATCCTCAAAATGGCAGGTAAGTTCTGAGAGAAGGAACAAAATACTCGAGCTGATTTAAATATTGTATTATAAATGACAGATTAATTGACAAATGGGTGTGGCTTTATTGCCTGGATTAATTAACACTTTGGTCGTCTGTGTGTAAAGAAGGAAATCTTTAAATGTCTATGTATTTAAAACAGAAGGGCATCTAATGCTCTATTTAGGTTTTTAGGTGTGTTTTTCTGCATGTGATAGAATCAGAATTGTTCCAAGAGATTCTATTCGTCATTGTGCTCTATTTAGATTTTTAGGTGTGTTTTTCTGTATGTGATAAAATCGGTGTTGTTCTCAGAGATAGTTATCATCATTGGCCAGCGGTTAATTCTATATTTTCACATTTGTAAATGTTTCTCTTATGTAATACTATTCGAGCTACGTCTATTTATCATGGCATAAATAAACTGGGTGCCTCATGTCAATACTAGTCAATGTAATTTCTTAGGAACATCAAAAAAGGTTCGTTGACGTGCCTTCAGTAGATCAGTCCTTTGCTGTTGAGGTTTAAAAAATAAATTGTAGGTGTTGTGTGTTACAGTTTATGATTATTCAAATATTAATGATCATGATATAAATTATATACTTGCAAGTAATAAGGTATCACTTTCAAACGCTTTGAGCAATGTGATCACATGACCAACATTCCTGTTCATGTATTTATATCCTGATACTTGGGCTCCAATTTGGACACCTCCATCTGAAATGAAATTTTTCTGATGAATTAAATGTTTGAATTATAAAGTAGATCACTTCTCATAAAAACACTTAAAGCTTGTACACATATGCACATACTGGTTTCAAATGTGAAAACAAAGAACAAAAAAAACTAATTCCTTTTCATTCTTTTTTAAGTTTTGATAGAAGTAATTGAAAAAGATATTCAGATGTAATTTAAATTACCCCTAAAAAGGTTAGGCATTTTTATGCTGATAAGGTTACTTTTAACATACGACATTTCATTCGCTGCTTTCTCTTTGGCTTGTATATGTATAACCAAATTTGTTTAAGTTATATACCTTATTTTATAATTATTCAAGCTCAAATGATATACATGTATGTCAGAATTATTCAGCTTCATCACTGAAAAAAAAGTTCACAAAATACAAACTTTAATATTTAAGTCTGTTAGTATCTGAATACCACAAGCTAACTCAGACACGCATAATCAGTGTAAATATTGTTAACATTTGACGGAAACCCAAGTCAGAACATTTACCTTTTATATAAAGTAAAACTTGGTTATAACAAAGTCACTGGGACCTATGAAGTTACTTCGCTATATCCCTAATTCATTATATCCGTATAAGAAATTTGTTAAATTTATATAACTGGGGATCCAAGATAACTTCGCTATTTCCATGAATTCGCAATATTCGTGTTCGTACTAAATGAGTTTAACTGTACTGTAGACATATTTCTAGTGTAGAGAAATTAAAGCTGAACATGACTTGTAAATAGGCATATGCCATTTTCCATATCGTATTTACAATAGTCCAACTCTAGGATATACTCTTCGCATTCGTTACACCTGACTGCTTTATTGTTCATGCTGGTTATCTTGCATTACCTTTGTTTACATTTTACTGCAGTAACTGTTACAAATATTTTTGTGTTTGTTTGTATACTGCACTGACCTCTGCAACTGTTGTAAGTGTCTTTGGTATCTTACTCTCCTGCATTGGAAGAACATGGTTATTTTTTGTCGCTACTAAGTGCAGTATAGCATATATCCATTTACACCGTGACAATTCATTACTCTGAACAGTGACTAAGTGACCGGCTCTATTTATAGAGGCCTGCAGATATACCGAGAGCTAGAACAAATATGGCAGACAAATTCTTTTTAATAGGAATCATGTTCAGCTTTAAGAAAGTCAGTTTGGGATCTGGGTGCTACTTCAGGCCACCTGTTGAGTTCAGGGCAGGGCTGTCAGGGTACCCAGGCAAACATAGTTCCCTTTTTTTTTGAACATTGAATGAATCATCTTCTTGAAGTTCTGTTTATGTTATTGTTCTAAACCAACTCACCTGCATGATGTTAAACATTGATAAACAGCCCTATAAAGAATTGTGAAAATAACATTATCACAACTTGCACATGTTGTGATATTGACAACAGCAAATGTAAATATTAACTGTAAACATTTTTTCAGCGGGGTCAAAATTCTGCAGTACATGTATTGCAATATACATTTAATAATTGGGTAAAAAATAAGTTGATTTTTGGTTTCTTGGTTGGAGGGAAAATGAGATATACAAGGGTAAAGTTCTCTTGGGAAAAAATACTAAATATCATTTGTAAATATCCCAGCATGGGTATGTATTATTGTCTTCTATGTGCTAATTTCTCTTGAGATTGATAATTAAAGTTCATGTTGGCCACACGTAATGCCTGCATTGGTGATAATTTTTAACAGTTTTTAGATTTCTGTGGATCGATTCATAGACTGAGAGTATAATTATTTGAAGGATTTGGTAATATTGCTGTGTGAGTGTAAAGAAATACGGATGATTTTAGAAACAAAAAAATGACACCAAATGTCACCAATGAGTTTGACCATGCTTGGTCAACTATCAGTGAATCCCTTCGTAGCATGGTTAAAATGGTAAAACTTCTTCTTTTCAAATGAATAACATAGGAAAATGAACAATTAACACAAAATAAACAAAAAATGGTGATTTGAGTACATGCTGCAAATGTGTTCATGCATCTATATATTAAACATTAGAGCTAAAGAAAACCTTCCATTAAAAATTTTATTGTACATGTTCATACCACTGTTTATTAACAGTCCCCTAGCTACTAGAAATAAAACTGAATACATGTATAAAATAGTCAATGTTGCAACAAAGGCAATTATAAAGATGCATTTGTGTTGTATGTCTAATTATTATTCCTAGTATAGGTAATAACTTGTTTTTGTCACTTTATTATTGATAAAGAACCTGAAATGTCAGATGAATTTCTTTAGCACAATAACTTGATAAACATGTTTTGATGTCCTGGTTTGATATTCACAGGCGTTTGTTTTTATCTGCCATGAGTGCCCAATTGTACCTTTAACACGTTAGTTGCGGTGAATTCTCTATGATATCAGATGGATGTAATGCAAGATGAAATGGATTACGATTCTCAGTGGTCTTTTTTCTTAGGGTATGCGGCCACCCAGGAGGTTCCACCACAGGGCACCTCGGTCCCCGCCTCAGAAGCCACGGCAGAACAGGAGAAGAAAAAGACCAAGAAAAGGAACACCATCAACCTTCAGCTAGAGCTGAAAAAGCAACAGGCAGCTGCAGCCCAGCAGCAGCAACAGCAGCAAGAGACCCAGCAACAGCAGAATGCAGCTTTGGCAACCGGTGCTGCGGGTATGCAGGATGTTCTTGCACAGGGTATTATGGGTAATCCCATGACAAACTTTCCTAACATGATGATAGGTGGTGCTGGGCAGCAACTGATTAACCAACAGATGTTTATGAATTCCATGATGTTTGGTGTGCCCCCTGCTGGTGGCAGTCAGATGCCCATGGGAGGTAATCCATGCATGCAGGCTCAGACTCAATTTTCACAAGGTCAGAGTCGATGTGGTGTTCCCAATAATCTCATTTCTTGGAAAGATTGTGTAAAGTATTCAATTTATAATTCATTTAATATTTTAAAAAGGGGGGAAGGGGTGGGGGGTAGAGATTTTTTCAAAAAAATTTTTTATCAATATTTTCTATAAGATATAAATGACTGATTGGGGGTTGATATTGTATTTATTGGTATTCGAAAAATGAACAGCCTTGCATATGTGATTGCCTCAGTTTTGTTTTGATCTAACCCTGTTTGTTTCCTTCACCTTTCTTTCCTAAGAATGTTGCACCATCTTTCCAATCCTTTTCTTTCATTAACTAGAAAGGTGATTAGTTTAATACCAGTTAATTTGTGATTGACATTAACTTTGGATATTGTGTGTAAGTTATTAAGCAAGTTACTTATAAAATGTGATGACCTTCAAAACATTGGAAGCAGGTGATTACACACCTGTGTTGCGTACAATTACACACCTGTGTTACGTACAAACTCTCAAATCCACAGATATTATTTTTTAAAAATTAAAACAATTAGCGGTCATTTACTGTTCCAAACTGACTAGCAGCTCATGTATAATTAGAATAGGTTCTCGCAAGGAACGTGACCAATGTAATTAGCTTGTCAATTAGTAAACAAACAATAAGGCTTATACCTAATTACCAGTATTTTGCGCTTGTCCTCTGATACCCTTATTTCTACCCTCTACAATATAACCGCTAGCATGGAAAAATAACTGTACTACAAGAAGAAAACTGTATTAAATTAACGCTGATTTATTTTTGACAGCGTCGTTGCGAACCAGAAATTGGATACACGTGGAAAAAAGTTACATAATTATTTGCAGAAATCCATATTGCGATATATTCTTTACAATATTGCAATATATTGCAATATATTGTAGGAAATCATTAATAAATACAGATATATGAAATGAATATCTAGTTCAAAGACTATTTGAATTTATCTTTAAGTTTAAAAGGGGGAGGAGGGATAAGACATTTTTGCACCCCAAATTAACACTTTACTTTTAATCAAATTCCAGGTAAAAATTATCTTGCAGTTTCACATTGAAATAAAAATTTTTCTTATATAACTTTTGCATTGAATTCTTTTTTTTTGGGGGGGGGGGGTGAGATGCATAAAATGTTTTCAAGATTAAAACAATATTATCAGATGAAAATAATTTTATTGTGGGCAAGAAATTTCTGTTTTGGGTTTGATCTCACTGTTTTTGACAGAAAGCCTGTTTTAATATATATGCCCTTTGGCATAAGGTGTTTAAAATTCCAATTATTTGCAGTGAAAACATTGACCATTTTCTTCACAACCGTTGTACATGTATATTGAAACATTTAGTATACAGATTGTATATCAATGAATATCTAGGGCAAGTTCATATTTTGTAAAAACGTTTTATATATTTTCTTTCTTATAAATTTTACTTTAAAGTCTTATTAGCCCCTTGTAATTTTATTTGGAAAAATTCCAAAACTGCAACAGTGAATTAAGTGTTTTACAAACTCTCTCTTCTCTCTAATTTCTAAATAACATACTCATTTAAAACATTTTTGAAATGTTTAAAATTCATAATGGCTGAAGTTAAAATGTTTTAAGCATTCTGATATACATATTGCTAATTGTTGAAATTAATGGAAATTACTGGTATACAATATTATCCGGTAATATTGTATACATAGTACCTGTTGATTTTTTATAATTTGTTGTATGTGTGTTTGTTATCAGGTCTATGATTTTCTATTTTTTTTTATTTTTAAAAAAATGCAAGCATGTGGCTTGAGTTAAAATGTTTTTGTGTGATATACTCTGATTGGATAAAAATAATGTTAATTCAGGTCATTGAAGCCGTTAGCGTTTCAAATTTTTTTAAAAAATGAATTTAAATCCCCATGTACTATTTCAGGTTTACCTGGTCAGACAATGACTGGACAACAGTCTGATAAAAATGCTGCAGAGGCCGGGGCTGGACTTCTCCAACTGGCCATGCAGGATGCTGGTATCACCCCCAGCAGTAACAACAGTGTCCCCCAGACGGAGGACTCAATCTCCACCTCCTCCTCCGTGCAGCGGTCAAGTGCCGCTGACCAGAGCACGGTCACCTCTGCCCTTCACACCTTAGCATCGGTAGCCTCTAATACTCAAAATGTGACAAACGTTTCTCAGATCCCTGCCAGTCAGGTTCAGTCCAATGCTTCAATGATTCAGACAGGTGCTACCACGACGACCACTCAGTCGGTCAATTCCGTGGCACCGATCATGGCCACCGGTCAACAGAACTTGAATGGAACAAACAGTGTGATGAACATGCCGTTTGTGAATGGACAACAGCAGATGGCTACAAATGTTATGCCGGGAAATCAAATTGTGAACCCGGGGACATCCAATGCCATGCAGCAGATCATGTTCATCAATGAACAGGGTGTGCCGTGCATTGCAAATGTCCCGATGGGAATTGATCCCGCATCTCTTGGACTTTCAAATATGGGGAAGCAAATAGTGAGTGGTAATCTGTTGATTCAGAAGGACGACCAGCAGACAGTTCTAGCCAACAACTTAGCTCAACAGCAAATGAATCTAGCAATGCAGGGTATACAACAACAAACTTTTCAACAAGGACAAACAAATGTAACAATGGGAGGAAATAACATTGTCCAACAGCCAGTGAACAATCAACTGGCCCTGAATCAGCATATCATGCAACCCATGCAGGGCCCCATCCAGGGCCTCAGTAACCCCCAGAACCCGCAGGGACTCATCCTGCCGGCAAGCCAAACAGGAAATCTCCTGACTGTTAATTCTGTTCCAAATTTTTCAAATCCTCAAAGCCAACTTCCACAGGCCTTGCTCTTACCAAATGGCCAGATCATACCAGTTGTTTCCAATCCAAACCTGTTTGCACCCGGACAGGCTCCAGCAAATCAGCTGATTACTCCTGGGGGTCAGCCCAATGCAATCCAGGTAAATGTGCAAAAATAAAATATTGTAATGTATATATTATTTATTTTTAATTAACTTTTTTTGGCATCATTTTAAGTATATTTTTGGCAGTGTTGGATTTCAGTCAATCAGAAAATGAGGGATTATTCAATCATCTAATGCATTGTTTTATGACACACATTTAAAACTATGGATATCAAAGATTTAGTGAACCAAAAAATATTTTTATGTGCAGACCAAAAAAATTATGAAATAGTCTTATGTTTTATATGATGCTGAAAATGAACATTTTACTGAAGATGGTATTTCATTGTTTGAAAAACTTTCTCATTCTATAACTAAATTTCGTTTAGCAGGGAGCAGGAATCCCTCAGCGTTTACCAGTTCCACAAAACATTGTGCAGCCTGATGGTTCACAGATGCTTGTTACAAGTACTGGACAGATACAGGTACATATGAGTTATCAAGTAAATATGAAAATCTATCTAGGGGCATAAGCAATTTTCACTGTTTATAAATAGAAGTCTATGTAAAAATGGAGATGTTTTTGCAGGTGGCTCCTCAGAATATGAATATTCAAGGGCAAGCTACTGTGCAACAAGGATTGCTAATGACAACAAATTCCATCCTTCCGCAGGTGTCCCCTTCAACTAGTTCCACGGCGTCCGGGACCACCAGTTTAGTGTCCACATCCGTCGTCACAAGCACTGTGACCTCAACCTCTGGGGTCACGGTCAACCGAAAGCCAAAGACGTCTGCTAGTGCTACTTCATCTGCAGAGGAAGTTATAATGACTCAGAACCAGGCTAATCTAGTTCAAACTGGTTTGGACAGTTCCACATCTGTGACATCACAAGTGATGACCTCTGACCCCAACAGTGCTTCAATGAAGATATTGAATCCCCAGTTACAGAGTGTGTTACATGGACAGCTGGGAGGGTCCACTGCTCCTATACTGCTCACAATGAACTGCAATGGTCAGCCCACCAGTATTCTTGTGGACCCAACAACCATGCAGGTCTTAGGTAAATTTCATCCCACAAAGCACTTGTTCTGTATAGTAGAACTTTTGCCCCGTGATGTTTTTGCCCTTTCAAAATTGCAAACAATTTTGCCCCTTTTAATTTACTAGACACAGCTGTGCTTAAGCAGTAATGCTGTTTTCTTTGAATTTGCCCCATCTTAATTTTCCCACTGACAAGAAGGGCAAAAGGGGCAAAATGGAATCAGGACAAAACTTTTCCTCTTTTCAGTATTTTCATCAGAATTTTATTAATTGGGTTTATCGTAGGAAAAAAACCCTGTTTTGTAGTGGTGAAAAGGTGGTTGTTTATATAGGCAGCTGCTAAAAGGGTTCATCATTTGTCTGGACTACTGTTCCTACAGTTTTCAAAGAGGATTTTGCAGATCAAATGTACATATATAAATATGCATATTACTTGGATTTATTTTTGATGATTAAGAAAATACTAGTTTTTGAACCAAGTCATTTCTTATGCAGAATTTTGTACACTTGGTACATAGATATTGTTAAGAATATGATATTCCCTACAGTTTACAGAAAAGAGTGTTTATGATCATTGAATTATACCAGTACCATACTTAAGGAATAACTGTCTTATTTTTCGATTTCATGAAGTGATCAATAGATTGGCTTGCGTGATAATTTGCATAGAAGGCGTTTATGCATAAAATGTACATATTACTTGGATTTTATTATTGATGATTAAGAAAATACTAGTTGTTGAACTAAGTAATTTCTTTTGCAAAATTTGCATACAAATATATATTGTTAACCGCGCCAAAACATTGATAGAAAAGAGTACATTTACAATTGGTAATCATTCGGACAAAGACATTGAAAATGTAAATATAATGAAATGAAAACATTGCTGTCACATTGACAGTTTTCCTTTTGTACCATGCTACAACTGACAACATCTGTAATAAAGGTATCACATCAGTATATGAAAAAATAGAAACTATTCCTGCTTTCCTCATTTTTTGACAATTAACTAAGATTGAATAAACAAGGTACATTTCTTTTACCGTTCCATGGGTGGGGCATTCATTCCCCATAAACATATTTTAATTCTACTTCATCTAGGCCTAAAAGAGATCTTTTTTTTAACCCCTTTTGACAAACTTTAAAGTACATTGTACTGGTATATCAGTTTATCAGAAGTAGTGATCAGTAGTCTTGTTTCCATCCAGCCACTCTCTCAGTGCTAAATAGTCATGTACCTTACCTGAGTGTTTATTGGTTATAATCAGGAAATTGTAAATGAGATTTTTCCAGAGTTCACAATTTTTATAATGTCTAGTAATTGAATTGTTTATTGGAAAAATTTGTTATTTAATAATTAGATGTTTTTAGAAATGAAATGCAAAATGTTCAAGTAAAGCTGATAATTGAGCTGTTGTTTAACAATTTATGAATTAAAAAAAAATGTTATAGATATTAAGAATATGATGACAAATACATATTCAATTTAATATTTTTTTTTTTATGGCAGAAAGACAAATTTAATTTAATTCTTTTTTATGCTGCCATTTTGACTGTCACACAGGATTGGTACATTAAATTATTAGCATTAAAACTATTTTAACACTTACAGAACAAAATTAAAAAATGTATACCGTATAAGTAGAATTTTTGCGAGGATTTAATTTTGAAACTAAATTTGTCTAAAACACAGGATTTTTAATTGTTAACATTTATTTAAATTATATTAAATTATTAGTTATATTCTATTTCAAACCAAAAAAAAGTACATCAAGAAAAAAACTATAGGAATTATTTACAGATTTATGGGTTTTTTTTTTCAAATCTTTGAAGAGGGATAAAAAAATTTAATTTTTTTTTCTTCAAAATTTCTCTTGGTCATATAATAAATTTATAGTTCTATATGTCCTGTTAAAAATATTGCTTTCCATAAACTTTTTAAAAATAATTGAAAAAATTGTTAAAAATATAAAATCAAATACAATTGTCATAGTTATTGATGAAAAATTTTTAAAAATTGTTTTGTCTTTGTAGGAACTGTGCAAACACAGCAACCTCCTCAGCAACCCAACCTGAATCCAGCCACTTCTGTCAGCACCAGCACTCCGAGTAAAAAGAGCAAGAAAAACGGACAGCGGGCCATCTGTCCCAAACCTCAAGTGGCTAACACCTCTAGTGCTATTACCACAGTGACA